GTTCTACGAACAATACGTTCAGGAGATTCTTGCCGCTGTCCGTCATAACGCCAAGATGGAGTTCAATGGCATCTGGAAGACTAACCATGAGGTGAAGTATCTGATGGATCGAGGTATATTCGTAAGACTGATGCAACCATCTTATTGTCGAAGAAGATCAACGACATGCAGTCTTATATCCTTGGCGTCCTCGAGGAACATGATCCTGAGAATGATTGGATGGTTCGTGCTGTTCTCAGACGTTGTGTGCCCAGGTTGCTTCTTGTTCATTGTGGTTTGGATAAGATTGTCGAGAACACTCCCGAGGCTTATCTCAATGCTATGGTTGCCACTTGGATTGCTGACGAGTTCGTCTACTCTAATGGTCTACAGACTAGCGAGTTCGGCTTCTTCCAGTTCATGCGCTCGCTCGAGGAAAAGTCCGAAGGTGAGGTTACCCCTTCTACTATGTGATTTACTGAAACTTTCTATACAAAAGCTATATAGGGCATCGTACATCTGTTGCCGCCGAATTTTTTTCTCAATACTTCGAAGATTTTTCTCCATGTCTTAACGGGATTACCTGTGATGAACGCAAGCTATCTTGTATAGTATTATTCAACTTCCGATTTGGCTAGTCTGATTTTGATGTTGTGTCGAGTCCTTGGGTGGGGATATAAGTCGTCTCGTCGGGTAACTCCAGCAAGTCCACGTGTCTTGTACTGCCGCTGTATGCAGGCATATACTCTACTACCCCTACATTGGGTTGACAGTGTCACAGTATTGAACCGCAGTTCGGTCCTTGGGGGTTGTCGGGTTATATGTCCTTCAAATACATGTTCATGTCAGGTAGATTAACTGTTAAGGAAACGATTTTATCGTGATTGGATTATGCTAAGATGCAAAGTTCAACTCAGGGGGCAACAGGGCGCAGACAGTGAGAATAGATCCACAGTTTCGAAGCTTCGTTATGGTAAGAATACGTGTCTCTCCGAAAAGAAATAGTACGAAGCAACAACCTAAGTGATCAAGTCATAGTTCATCCCGGCATAACACATAGTATCATGGCATGGCACGTGAGTAATTGGCGCTGCCACATCCCTGCGAGTCCAACTTGATGTCAAAAGGTCTGTCGGCCACTCATC